CCAAGGGCTCAAGTAGAAAGCAAATGTTTTGAGAATGATGAGGGCAACAAATGTACAAATGTGCTTGACACAAGGGATAGATGGATGGATGGATTGTGATAAGAGTTGGACGAGCCCCCAATAAAATGATTTTTTAAAGAAAAAAAAAGATTACCCTTTGGGAATCTCAAAAACATAATAGGCATAACTTCTGAGCTGATTTCTTCACCTTAAATGGACTGGCTGCGCAGACCCCTTCTAGAAGCCTCTGTTTGGACTGGGCTTTCCTCTCTGGGTCACCTGGAACATCCAAGACTCATCCTTGTTGATAAAAAATCACTCCATAAAAAATCACCTTGTGAGCTTCAATCTCACTCAAAGGGCCGACGGTAAGATCAGCTCTTTGAGCTGGCTAATCATCATACAATGGTTTTGGCACCCACCAAGCCAAAAGCTTACTGAGAACAAGATGTTCACTTAAACTTGGAAATGATCAGTCTATGATCTCCTTCCACCACATCAGCTTCTGGACGTAGCCACAACCTCTTCATCTGTCAAGATGTATAGTCTTCTCTGTCTTGGCTCACACACCCCCCTTTTTTTTTTCCAGTGTCAACTGGGTGAAAGTTTACAGAGCAGATCAGTTTTCGACTCAGCATTCCTATATATTTGTTTCATGTCACTGACTCCGATGCCCGCAATTTAACATCAGTGATCCTGTTCTCTGTCCGTGATTCCTGTTTCCAGTCCTACTCCTTTCCTGAGCTTTTTTGACTGTGTCCTTGGGTAAATGCTACCCTTTGATCTCAAATGATTGATCATTCTAAGGCATAGCCTTACTGGTCCTTGTCTATTATTTGCTGAACACTGAGCTGTGAATTCATTTCGAGACCTGAAAGGTGACTAGGAGCCAGAGTCTCTATCCAACCAGTAATGCTGATCGTTTTTATGATTCGGCCTTTTGTTCCAGAGTCTTCTCTCCTCCTATCCGGGGTCACCTACCATGACCCCTTCAGAGCAGTTGGTGGTGATAGCCAGGCCCCATCTGGTTCTTCTGGTCTCAGGGTTGGGAAACTAATGTGTGGTCCATTAGTCCACTGGACTCACTGGTTCCATGTGTTTTCCATTGTCTTCACGCTTCTTTCCTCCGGAAAGGGAGAGACCAATAGAGCACATCTTAGGAGGCCACTCACAAGCTTTGAAGACGTCAGTCACTACTCACAAAATAGGGCGCACAACATCGTCTTTGTGGAGTATGATACCTTTCGTTCACCTCTGAAATCTTCCTAACCTTTCTTAAAATGCTTGATCCATCTGAAAACTGGTGTTTCATGTGGAGTAGCATGTGCGTAAACTTGTTAGAAGGTTTCAATGATTTGGGAAGATGTCCACTTGAGTTTAGTGGGGGGAAAATTGTTATTAGCCCTGACCACAAAATCTTTTTTTCCCATGGCACAGAAAGTACACACTGAAACAATCCATCCGCTGACCTCAGTGACAAATGTAAACACATTTTGTGTGGGATACACCATGGATACATGAACTAGAACCCCAGTGCAATACTGTTTAACTTACCCTTGGTACCATCAGGGAATTAAAAAAGACACCCAAGTCTGCTTTCTAAGATAATAGGGATTTTCCGAAAGGTACACGGGACAAATGGGTTCCAATGTATCTCTGGCTAGATTTTAAAGAAATTCGCTTGTTTCGGAGGCCCTTTGAGCTCAGAACACTGTGCGCTGCTTTGCTGGTTTGCCACAGGGACCAGGCATGACACATTAGACACAGTGGCAACCCTGGACCTCAGATGACACTCAGACCTCCTGCATGTCTCTGTTCCACTACTGAGCTTGGAATGCAGAGTCCCAAAACCCCATGGCAGGGGCCCTTGCCCAGACCATTCTCAGACCACCAGTCCTTACAGCCATTTCCTACTGAGTAAGGTAAATAAGAACCCAGGGCCAGTTGGAATCACTTCTGTCTGACTTCATTTCGGAATGTGTGACTTATTTAAAATCAGCGGCGGCTTTTCCTGGGAAAGGTCTGATCCCTTCTTGCCACCAAAATGGAATGTGGCACTTTCTACAACTGAACAGGGCAGGTATTTGTTTTGCTTTGAAGAGAACGACTTCAGAAAACATACTGATCCTCAGGGCTGACTGCCTCCCAAATCTCACGCCTGGCGTGGCCAGGGGCCTTGGGAGGACTAAGAATGGTGGCATTCATGAAGCACTGCAGTCTAGCTGTCCTGTCCATGGCTCGGCTGGGGCCTCAATCGGCGGAAAGGACCTTCCTCCATCACCACCCCATCCTCACAGCCTCCGTACCTGTGGAGTGGCAGAGGTGACCAACACGCTAGCCATCAGACCATTCCTCTTGTACATGGTCTCCAGGCCACAGGGAGCTTCAGGGCAGCCTCTGCTGGTGACATAGCCCGTCTGGAGAAGTCCTGAAAGGCAAAGGGGCTCATAAAGATCAGGCTTCAAACCAGCTGCATAGCCCACCCCCAGGCAAAATCAGGTGCCCTCAGATGAGCAAGTTAAAAACCCTCGCCTACAGTTAAATTTCACCCACAGGTATCTGTTGGGCTCATGTAGGGTTTTATTTTTTTCTAAAACAATTACCAATATTCCTCTTGTACATAGTCTCTAGGCCAACATTTTAAAATTGGAAGATTTCACATAGACTTCTGGATTTCTTGCTTTTCTCAAAAATTAAAATACCTGGCAATACCAGGCCCACAGTCCTGCATGATAACCATCACCTAGGTGGATCAGTAACTGCCCCTTCTCATGAGATTTTCCAGTGCCACCTGGCCTGTGCTACCATCAAAGTATATGCCTGACCCTTGCTAGGGCTGGGGTTTGTGACCTCTGTTTTAAAAGTAAGGTAGATAAAGAAGCCCAAGTGGTTCTACTGTGTTCCTTTATGTACCAATCCAATTCATCATCAGAACCACATCAATGATAACTAACGCCCATGAAATATTTACTAGATGCCACATGCTTTGCATATATTAGCTCATTCTAATTCTGACAACAATCCTTAGATAGCTCCCGGTGTCGTACCGTATTCCATGTCAGAAAACTGAGGTACATAGAGGTTAACAAACTCATGCTTTGCTGCCTTTGCTCAGCATCCTGCCCAAATTCACGTCTTCTGGTTATTACCCCTGGACGACCCAAAGTACAACCACTTGTTCTCACACCAGCGCCCGCACACCTTAATTAGAGCATCTCTTACACCACCGAACCAGAGAGCTGAGCCACACCACAGACAGCTTTTTAGAAGCAAAGTGGCCAGGCGAGTAGGGATGAATGTAATGGGAGAGAGGAAGACAACAAGAATGATACCATTTGAGAAGAAACGGCACTTTTCCAAGCACAAGAAAAAGGAAGGTCCTACAGTGGTGGCAGTGAGCCCTGGGGAGGAAGACGTGGTAAAGGAGCCTGCGGACAGAAACTCAACCGAAATGGCAAGGCGAATGATCAGAAAGGCAGTGTATCCTTCATCCAGGAGAAAAGCAGAGGGGGAATTGTAGATTTGGGGCGGCGGGGGGTGGATGAGAAATTTAATTTGGGATATGCTGAGTGTGTGGTGCCCATAAGAAAATCAGCCCTGGAAATCAAGGTAGAGCAAGACAGTCCCTGAGAAAGACGGCTTGGTGGCACATGGAAAAGAAGAGGGTGCCAGTCTGATGCTATATTTCTCTGTGATCGTCACAAACCCCTCAGACATAAGGTCCAATCACAGAGCAATGTGTTCTCAAAAACGAACCAAAAACCCAAGGGTTCCGTGACCAAAGGGGATGTCAAAACAACCCAGGGCCCTTCCTCCCATGTGCCCCAAACCACCTATGGCTGTTCCCTTCCCCCTCACACCTGCCCCCATCCCTCATTCTTCACTGCCCCCTCCATCCACTCTAGCCTGTGAACCTTCTGCCTCCCCTCAGAGATCTAAAATTACCAAACCGAGCTATAAAAGACATTGGGGGCTGGAGGGAAGGGCAGCAACCTGGGATACCTGAACATGAATATTAGCTGATACTACTGGACCTCTGTTCATTTTCTTCCACTGATGTGGAAGCTAAGTACCAAAAGGTCCTCACCCTCGGGCAGGGTGAATAATAAATAGGAGGGGTAAATAAGTCTGCAACTTCTTTCAAACTCTACAGCAAAAATATACGTAAATAGGGCTAAAGCTAGTATGGCGAAGCCTGAAAAAGGATTGTCTGGTCCACAGAGAGGACCACATGGCCAACCCCACTATGAGACGAGATGCTCCTCACTGGCCCATGGCCCTGCAGGGGACAACACCAGGAACACAGTGTGGGAATTGCGCCTGATCTGACCCCGCCATGCCGAGGCAATGCACTGGGGGGGGGGGG